CCCTCCCACTGAGAGACGGTCTATCTCCCTACTGCCTATTATTGATCTTTTACTTTGCTTTTCGCATTTTGGGTTTCTCAGGTAAGGGAAATGGGATATTTAAGCTTATGTGTCTGATTTATTTCACTTAAGGTTCCATTCTCAAGGCGTATCCATCTTCCTACAGAAATGCCTCACTTTCCTCCTTTGTGGTGGAATAGCACTCCGTTGTGTGTAAATACCACATTTTTCCATCTGTTCCTCTGTTGGTGGGAACATACAGGCTGCTTCCAAGATTTAACATGAATTGTGCTGCCAGTGCCTCTTACTTGCTTTTAAAACACTTTCCTCACCTCAAAACAAAACCGTGTACTTGTTATGTTACCCATTTGCCTCCTCCTGCAGTCCCGACAGCCACCAGTCTGCTTGCTGTTTATGTGAATTTACCTCTTCTGCATATCTCATGTAAGTGGAATCGTGTATTTTGTTTCGTGTCTGACTTTTATGTAATGTAGCGTTTTCAGGGCTCATTTATGTTACACACGTGTCATTCACTTCCTTTTATAGCCAAATGCTGTTCTACTATGTGTGCATGCCACCTATGGGATTTTTTTTTGGTACTGGGGATTAAAACCAGGGCCTTCACACTGACCTACATCCCTAGCTGTTGTGTTGTGTTATATAGTGTGTTTTCTTTTGAGACAGACTCTCACTGTGTACTTCAGGCCAGTTTTAAACTCACCGTGTAGCCCAGGCTGGCCTCAACCTTACTGCAGTCCGCACGCCTCAGCCTCTTAAGTGCTGGATGCCACCATGCCCAGCTGGTTTTGCTTTGCTTTTTTGAGACAGGGTCTCACTAAGTCACCAGGCTGGGTTTGTTCTTGTAATCCTCCTGCCTTAGCTTTGCAGAGTGCTGGGACTGCATGCATGCGCCACCACAATCAGTCTGTGTGCATGTTTTATTTATTCGCTTGTCCATCCCCTGGTGGACGTTTGGGTTGTTTCTGCCTTTTGGCTGTTACAGGCAGTGTTGGTGTGTACATTTGTGTGCAAGTTTGTGAGTACGTATTTTCAGTTTTTTTTTGTGTGTGTATGTACTAGGAGCTTAATTACTAAATTATAGAGAGCCCTTCCCAGTCCTCACGGCCCAGGAAGTTTATATTTGTAGTTCCATGAAAAGTGATTGGGATTCTAGCAAGTTAGTTCCAATCTACCACTTCCAGTGCAGCCCATGGCGAGAATAAAGACACTAAAGCGTATTTGTAGTTATGGGGAGCCAAGGGGTCCTAAGTCCAGCCATGGTGATGGCCATCCAGAACAAAGGCCTCGACCCAAGCCTGAACCCAGGTTTTATTCATTCATGAGGAAGGGAGTGGCTTGAGGATGAGTGACTGAGAACCGTGGGAAGTAGGTGAGTGCGTGAGCTGGGCTAGGTAAGAGGCCTGAAATCCCCTCTGCAAACGCGGAGAGAAGGATCTGCAGGAAGAGTAATCTGCATACCACAACTGCGGTAGGGTCTAATGTTTTGAGGCCTGTCCTTCAGCTCTGATGTGTAATCTTTCAAGCCCCAGGAAGTCACAGCCTCTGTTTCGGAGGCTGGATCCCAACGGACAGTGTGGAGCATTGGCTCACACATCCCGCCTCATCCTGCCTCACTCAAGGGAGCAAGAGGGGGTCGGGGAAATACGCCTGCCGTCTCCAAAGACTACGATCAGCACCTGGCTAGACCAGTATGCATTGCTTAAAGCCATTTGAAGGCATAAGGAAAGTCCTAGCCAGCTCTGCACACATCAGTACATGGAAATAGGGTCAGGCTTAGCCAGAACAGAGGCAATTGCTCCTCTTTTAAGGAGAGTCGCCTCAGTGGTGATTTTTATTAACTTTCTTTTTCGTACTGGAAATTGAAGCCAGGGTCTTCACACTAAAGTACACCTCCAGGCCCTTTTTTAATTTTTAATTTTTTAATTTTTATTTTGAGATGGGCTCACTGAGTTGCCCAGGGTGGGCTCAAATTTATGATCCTTAAATTTATGATCCTCCTGCCTCAGGCTCTGAGTGCTGGGATTACAGGCATGTACCACCACACCGGGTAGTTTATGTTACATTTCTGAGTAACCGCTAGACTTTTCCATAGCAGCCAAATCGTTTTCCTTTCCTACGAGCAGTGACAGGGCTTCTGATTTCTGCACATCCTTGCTGGTACTCGCTGTGCGCCTTCTGTTTGCTCGCATGCCTTCTTGTTTGACTACAGCTCTTCTAGTGAGCATGCAGTAGCATCGCCTTGTCACTTTACTTTGCATTTCCCTAGTGACTAACGATGCAGAGCACCTCTTCACATGTCCTTTAACCACGTGTGTCTTTGGAGAAATATTGTCATTTTGTTGAACTGTAACAGTTCTTCACATATTTTAGATGCCAGACCTTTATTAGGTACGTGCTTTGCAGACCCTGTCTCCCATTTTGTAGGTTGACTTTTCATGTTCTTCCTAATGTCCTTTGATGCATAGAATTTTTTTTTTTTTTTTTTTTTGAGACAGGGTCTCACTATGCACTTCAGGCTGACCTTGAACTCACTTTGTAGCCCAGGCTGGCCTCGAACTCACCGCAACTCTCCTGCCTGTGCCTCCTATGTGCTAGGATTATAAGACATGTGCCACCACGCCTGGCAGAAATTCTAAACTTTTGTGAAGTTCAGTTTATTTTATTTTGTTGATGGTACGTGCTTTTGGTGTCATATCAAAGAGTTTTGGCATATTGCACCAAGTCCACAGCTGTGAAGCATCACCTCCGTGTTTTCTTGTGTTCGTTAATTTTACCTCTTACATTTAGCTTGGCCCTTTGGGGAAGGGAAAGTCTTTCTCAGAGGGAAGTGAACTCACAGCCTAGTTTGTTTCACTTTGAGTTAATCTTTGTGTATGTGCAAGGCGTGGTGGCGCATGCCTGTAGTCCCAAGCACTTGGGAGACTGAGATAGGAGGATTGCCATGAGTTCGAGGCCAGCCTGGGCTGTGTAAGCCAGTTTGAGGTCAGTCTATACTATTCAGCGAGTCCTTGTCTCAAAAAAAATATTTGTGTGTGTGTGTGTGTGTGTGTGTGTGTGTATGTATGGTCTGAGGTAGGAATCCAGTGGGGGCTGTGCTTTTAATGGCAAAATTTCATGGAGCTGCCACGTGATTTCATGGAATGGCCACATGGAGTGCCCTTTAACTGAACAAATAGCAACCAGACACTGAATGTTGTGGTATTTTAAATTCTTCTACATTACATGCATCAAAGCAGAGCACACATTTGAGAATAGCACTTGTAAGTCTCAGGCGTGTTTCAGTCTGTGGGCTGCATATCGGTGACTGGGATGGAGTCACAGATTCCCTTCTCCTGACTTAACGGTCTCCTCTCCGTCCAAAGGTCACAGGTTTTGTAGATGAGGATCAGGAGACTGTTGCAACTGGAAGGGAAGGGATAGGATAAAGGTAGAACTTCCAAGGCCCATACTTGCAGAGTGTCAAGGAGGAGAAAGGCGGCGAGTGCAAGGTCCCTAGGCAGAGCAGTGGGCGTCTGTGGGCCTAGAGGGAAAGTGACACTTCCTGGTAGACAGCAGCGCTGACAGCAGGAGAAACGAAGTGTGCAGGAGAAACTATGGCTGGAATAGGGACGCAGCTCCAGAGTCGGCACCAGAACGGGGCGCATTAGGGAACAGTTGATGTTCTTTTAGTTCTGGAAACACTGTAATGTGGCCGGACTCTGGCTGAGATTACAGGCATGTACCATGGCCCGGGAGTTCCATTGACTTTGTTTAGGTTCCATCCATCCCAGAGAGCATAAGGAATGTAGCTAGAGACATTCACAATTACTTCATCCTTTACCAGAACACTGGCTCAGTTTGAAATAATAAAACTGTATTCTTTTTTGTTTTTCTTTTTATTAAAGCTATATTCAATATTAACGTTTTGTGGTTTTTTGTTTTTTGTGTTGTTTTTTTTTTTTTTTGTCTTTTTAA